GGGGGGGGTTTGATGTCCCCCACTATTAATCAATCAAGCGACGACGTCGTAGCAGGAGTGAAGTCGCTTCACCTATACTCTTACGGTTAGTAGTGCCAGTCCCCGATGAATGATGGAGTAATATGGAGTCCACCTAGTTCATTGTACGGAGCGTTACAAATACATGTGGTCATAACCCCCCCCCCCATTCATTACACTTTAGGCAAAGATGCGCCAGCAATAGATCAGCTAGTTCTCCGATACCGCCGCCAGTCAACGGCCGTCTTTTCAAATCTTTCTAGTAATACACATTCATCATCGTATGCGATACATCTATCCGTATGCGATGCAGCTACACCCACCAAGCTCCTCCTACATATACTCCGTGATACCGTCACGTTACCCCGTGGGCCAAAACGTCTTGTCGCCTGGTGGAATATCGCATTACCCGTGCTTTGCCTGCCCAACCAAACCCCTGGACACTTGCTGCTGCCCTCTTCCCTCTTCCTCAGCCCCCTCCTCTGATACTGCACCCCCACTGTTGTGCCGTGTGGAGGCGGAGGGGGAAAAAAAACGACATCATCACCAATGTATCGTACTTGTATCCACGTCCTGTCCGGGGTCAGCCAGGCGCCTACTCTGTCTTCCTATCAGAACGCGCACATTGCATGTATTGACTTTCCCGCTCGTAAGACGGATATTACGAGCTAGCTCGTAATCAACCAGCATATCCGGGCATGCACACCTCTCTGCATCTGTCCACATACATGTACACAGACCTGACAGTGTACGCATGCGAGCGGTGATACTACTGGTAGTGGTGACAGTGCTCCCGTAGCAGGTCCGTCCCGTGTGTCCGCCCTGTGTGCTCGAGGCTGCAACGTTCATATGTCGCCGCGGGACACGGGCCTGGACGATGCAACGAGACGCCCTTCCCCATCTGGGCTTATCAGCGCGGGAGCGGCGCATCGGCCTGACTGGGCCGGACGTATCGGCACTCGTCCAACGGCACAGCCTCGGGCCCCTGCCCCAGACAATGCCTCATCAGCAGTCGCGGTAGAGGATGGTGATGTGCTGATCTCCGTCACTGTGACGCTCCTGCCTGACCTTTGGGCGTACCCCAAGAGCCCAAAAGTCAAGGCACGTGGGCTTAGCGCGCAGGCATGACCAATCGACATTGGTAGATCTGTCCGTGTCCATTCGTGGCTGTGCTGCAGGTTCAAGAATAGAAGCTTGGTGCCTGTCGGCCCCGGGGCTGGTCCTTTTCTGCTGTCCGAGCTTTTACAGACTTGACCATGTTTCATTCTTTGTCCGAGGGGGGGGGGGGGGGGGGGGGGGGCATGACAGTCAGTCAGACTCGAGCAACAGGTGATGGCTATCAGGCAAGACATGACAAGTAAAGTTCCACGGCCTCCGAACGTATACCAGCGTAGTTTCAGCACTAAAGATAGACCGTCTTGGAAGGTGACGGCTCGTCTTCCTCCGTGGAATTCTCCCTCCCTCCTCTCTTCCTGGGTAGGTAGCGTATGGCGCGCCGTCGAAGAAGGCACAAGCTGTCGTGGTGTGGCTAAGCTCTGCCGGTTTTAGCGCCACAATTCTCTACGCCACATGGTGCACTGCTCGCCTGCAACAATTTTACCACATGCGACTTCACTCTTGATGCCTCGTGCCAGTGCTTCACGAACTTGACCGTCCTATCGCATGAATCTCTGTACCGATCGCCCAGGCGTTGTTCAAGGAGGCTCACAAAGGCTCAGAGGGAGCGGCTTCCTGTACCCCGGGGAGTGACGACCGACAGGCTCTCACCCGAGCCTGTCTTGACAAACAAGCAAACGGATCTGTCGAACAATTCCGGCTTTCACATATCCCTTCTACGTCTTTTCGTTTCCCTGGTGCCGCTGTGCTGCACTCTCATTTCAGGAGACAGTTCACGGGAGGAGAAAGAAAACGGCATTGCATCATTCTTTTCATCCCCCCTCTCCTCACCACAAAACAGCACCTATTCATCCTCCCCGCCTCTTGCCTTCCTCTCCTTCTACGTTCATAAATACTTCTACTCTCGCCTCCCCTCCCCCTTCCGTTCTTCATCTTCACATCTTCACATATCTGATTCGTCAACCTGAAGTTCTGGAGCTCACCAAAGGTGCAGGAATCACCTGATACTGGCGACGACTGCAGAGGATGAGGCTTGTGCTGCCCTACCTTTGCAGTCTCTTACGAAGCAGGTACGACCTACGACACCTGCTCAAAACACGCCATCCGTACCTCCACGGGCACCTACCTCTTGGAATTGGCCAAGCCTATCCTGGCCTAGGCCGTGGATTTCTGGTCTCTGCAGTCCCGACCGCTCCTTTCTCGCCAGGTCAACAACACCAACCACGGTATCTTGGGGTTTGGTTTCCAGCAGTCACACCATCTCTTCCAAGTCTCGCGACCGCTACTCCGAGTCCTACGGACCTTTGGAAAGGCACCCTGACGGCCCCCCTCCCCTCAGGCACCTAGACCTAGACGTCGAGAACAAGAGCTCGTCTCTTGAAGCTGGTCGGTCGAAGCCGTGGCTAGAATCACATTGCCGCCATAACAGCTCGTACAGCCGTCTTTCACAATGTCTGACGACAAAGAGAATCGGTACCCCAGCTCGAGATGTGAGGAGGTCAAGGCCAGCCTGGAGGCTTCCGCCCCTTCTGAGAGCCCAGCTCCCGTCTCTGCCGAGAAGGCTGCCGAGGCTGCCGAGGAACGGCCCAAGGACTCGCGACTGCGACGACGTGTTCTGCCGAACCCTATTGTCGACGAAGTCAGGTCGTCTGTGACGGATCTGGGAGTTCTGATTCCGCTCCAGACGACCCAAGAAGTCCGTCAAGATCATACCATCGTCCAGGCTCTCATCACCAGGGCACCGACGAGAATCGCTAACGACGTTCTCTCGCAAGTTCTCCCAATGTTGCTCGGCAATAACCTCGAGAGAGTTCGCAGCTGACGATCCATCAACAACAGGGCCCTGCGCGACTTGAATGGCGAGAGTGCTAAGAACATCAATCACCTTCGACGTTGTGCAAAGCCATCAGACCTCCCGGTACATCTCAAGACACAGTTCATGAATGAAAGCGCCCTTGGCCGTCAAATCCACATTTCGAAATCAAGCTGGATCTACATTGTTGTTGGCGAGACCAGCGAGTTCACAAAGCAGGAGCTCGTCGAGGTCCTATCCCTGATCGAAGGCATGGAAGAAGAGCCCTTTGTGGCTACAGTCCCTATCCCGCTGCTCGCACCCACGTCACAGATCCAGGCTGCCATGTGGTCATCTCAGTTCTGGCCTACGGTCTACCGGAAGAACAACCCCTTGGGACCTCACCCCAGCATCGTGGCGCGTGGCAGCGACGAGATTAAGGACTCGGCGTCCGTCTGGATGGCCCTCGCTCATCGCGTGGCCCTCCAGGGGAGAGAAGCCGGCATCGGCGAGCCGGTCGGGTGTGTCATCGTCCAGCGAGACGACTCGGGATCGTCGCTAGTGGCTCTCGCCGCAGACGCCCGCTGGCACCAGGAGCCCGGCGGTATCGGCGGTACGGACGGCTCCAGCCTCCCCCTCACCCATGCGGTCCTCCGTGCCATCAGCATGGTTGCCCAGAAGCTCGTCCGGCATGAGCGGGCCATGAACGGGCAGCCTGTTATCGAGCCGATCCTGGAGTACGATGCCTTTCAGGAACGGCCGCTGATTGAGCTGGAGAGGCAGTGCTTCGAGCAGGAGCATCCCAACAAGGACGGCTACCTCTGCCATGCGCTGGAGGTTTACATGACGCACGAGCCTTGCGTGGAATGCTCCATGGGCCTCCTCCACTCACGCATGGGCAAGGCTGTGTTTGCCAGGCCAATGGCCTGCACCGGAGGCCTGAGCTCGGACGATCGTCCAGGTGGAGGTGGACGAGGGTTGGGACTTTTCTGGAGGCGCGAGCTCAACTGGAGCTTGCTGGCTTGGGAGTGGGAGAGTGAAGACTCGCCCGACCTGCTTCGGATCAAACCGACGACTCATGTTTAGGATTACCACCTCCAATGCCTGCACGAGACTCGGCCACTGCTCCACCACCTCTTACCTCCCCTCCTGATACCGCCGCCGTGTCGGCTTACGGCTGCTCTGCTCTGTACAGCAGGCGCAGCGAGAGCGTTGCACGCAACCGTGCGTCTCCTCACCCGCGATCACGTATCTCTTTTACCCCCTCCCCCCCTATAAAAGCCCCCTATCAAAGGTGGCGATGATGAGACAAGAGAAAAAGACGGGGAAAAAAGTGAAGAAAATTTTTTTTTAAGGGAAGATAAGAGGAGAGGTCGGGAGGGGGAAACATGCTCTTGTACAGCATGGCCTTGAAACCATTGTCGGATCTTTCAAAGTCTGTGATGATGGGGAAGGGCGGAGGGGTTAGATAGTCCTCAATGTCTCCCGACAGTTGGCACATGACTGCCGCCCCAAAGCATGTGATGGATGGGGGCGGGAGGAAGGATGAAGATGGATTACGACGACATTGCTGCTTGTGTTTGTTTGAAGGTGGGAGTATAGTGAAAGATGGGCTTAGAGAACCGTCTGCGATGAGTGATGAATAACATTACTAGCAGTACGGATGCTATCAGCGATAGCAGCTTCATCACGGTTGCACGAGTACGAGTAATGAATGACGGATGCATCCCAGTGAATAGCTTCAATTGAACTGGCACGTGCAGGAGGCACGAAGGCTTGACAGGGCGTACGTAGTATTAAAACGTAGCGTTGCCAGTTTATATATAGCCTGGTAGGATGACAAGGTCTTTTAAGATCTCTCTTGTGAGCTCTAGAGCGTTTTGACGTCGAATTGATGGGTCAATTGTTTGGCAATTAAAAGGCATCATTTATATTACATTGACATGGACGAAACCAAGCTTGGCCCTTGAGAATAAGAATAAAAAAGGATGTTGGCCTGGGGCATCCACTCTAAGTACGACTACTGCTCTACTAGCAATACTCTTACTACGGAGTACGAGTATTACTGACTTTTAGTCCTGTGTGACGGCCACTGTTGAGAGACTGGGAGAGGGAGAAAGCGAAAGAACGCGAAAGGGGGGGGGGGGGGGGGGGGGCGCAGGGGGTTGGGCCCGGGGGGGGGGGGGCCCCCCCCCCCCCCCCCCCCCCCCCCCCCCCCCCCCCCCCCCCCCCTTCCTTCTTCTCTTCATTTTTTTTCTTCTCCCCTTCCTTCCCTTTTTCTCCCTCTCCCCACTCCCCGCGTTTTTGCTCAACCAAACTTCTTCAAGGCGCAGAGGACATTATTTTTGTTGCTTTTTTTTGGCCTTTTGCTTCTGTTGGTTATCACAGCTTAGTGTTGTTTTTCTTCCTCGCTACTACCTACCACCGTACGCTATGAGAAGAAGTACCTGACTGCTACGCATCCTGCACCACCACCACCAACAACAACAACAACAACATTCGACTGTGCCCGCAGCCGTCAGCGCCAAGAACCTATCTGGCAACAGCAGCAGCAGCAGGAGGAGGAGGAGGAGTGCAAGAGAGCTTCTTTGCTACCACCAACACCGCCATCCGCAGTTCGATAACGGGAGGAACGAACAAAAGCAATTCTTCGTTTCCGCGCCGCTACTGGCGCGCAAATATGTACCCGCCGCTGCTGCTGTGTCCGACTTGACAACGCTGTTTGGCTTCCTGCTCACCAGCCCCGCTATTGTTTATACCGAGGAGACGAGTACCTGCACGAGCGCAACTAGTATAGATATATATACGTCCCCGACCACGATGACAAATGTCAAGAAGCGGAGCGCGGGGTCGTCCTTGCAGAGCGGACCGACATCACAGCTAGCAAAGAAGCGCAAGCTAGAAAATCTACAAAAATTCTATGCTGTCAAGGTCGGGAGGATTCCGGGCGTATACCTCGAGTATTCGCAGTGTCAGGCGCAGACTGCTGGGTTCAAAGGGGCCGTCTGTAAGTTTTGTCTTGTTCTTCGGAGAGTCTCCCATCCGGAGGGGAGAAGCAGGAGCGGCAGCGGCGAGAAGGAGAGGAGAACTGACAGGGCACAGTCAAGAGCTTTACCTCGAGAGAGGATGCCGAGGCCTTTGCGGCAGGAAGGGCGGTGCAGCCGGCAGACGACGAGCCAGCCAAATTCTACGCCGTGGCCGTGGGAAACCCGACGGGGATATTCAGCGACTGGGCCGACGCGAGCAAAGCCATCAAAGGGGTCAAGGGGCCCAAGTATAAGCGGTTCGCGTCGCACGGCGAGGCGGTCGAATACATCAAGCAGTATGGGGGCGCAGATGCCATCAAGGCTCTGGGCCTCAAGGTGGACAAGAAGAAGCTGCTGCAGCAGCAGCAGCAGCAGCAGCAGCAGCAGCAAGACAAGAAGGACAAGGGCCTCGGCGCCGGCGCCGGAACGATCTATGTCGTCTCGGAATCCGAGGAGTCGGACGAGGACGAAGGCTCGCAGGTGCTGAAGATCTGGACGGACGGCAGCAGCCGGGGCAACGGACGCGACGGCGCCAGGGCCGGCCTGGGCGTCTTCTTCGGGCAGGGTGACCCGCGCAACGTGTCGGAGCCGCTGAGGGGGGACCCCCAGACGAACCAGCGGGCCGAGCTCATGGCCATGCAGCGTGCTCTCGAGGTGGCGCCCCAGCCTACCGACGTCGAGATCATCAGCGACTCGCAGTACTCCATCAACTGCGTGACGCAGTGGGCCGTCGGGTGGAAGGCCAAGGGGTGGAAGACGGCGCTGGGCGAGGAGGTCAAGAATCAGGACATCATCCGCGCCGTCCTGGCGCTCATCGATTCGAGGAACAAGGCCGGCGGTAAGACGACGTTCACCTGGGTAAAGGGGCATGCCAAGGATCCCGGCAACACGGCGGCAGATCTGCTGGCCGTCAAGGGGGCGAGCATGGGCTGATGGAGGCAGAGAAGATGGCTTGTCTGTATCCACGGCATCTGCTTGGCCCTGGTTCACCTCATCTCTCGTTTCCTAATCAAAAAGGCGGCTCTTCTCTTCCTCACCCTTCCTCACTCTCATTCCAGCATTCGCTTTCTCTCTCTCTCTCTCTCTCTCTCTCTCTCTTTCCTTTCTTATCTTTTGAGAGTGTTTTTGTCTCTGTTGGTAGTAGGCGTTGGAACGATCTATGTGTATATAAGGATATGGGGTTATCTCTCTCGATCTATGAAACTGCTGTGTCTATGTCATCTACGGAGTACTGGTCCGAGTATGTCTGGCTACTGCTGTATAACATGAGGATGGAACGATCCGACAACATATCTGCAATACTGCATCATCGCCATGAAGATACGATATGAAGATACGAATACCAATCAGCCAATCGTCCAAAAAGTAAGAATATCCATAGAAAGGCATGAGAAGGACGGGATAGAAATAGAAATAGAAGGTGGAAGAAGAAAACGCCATCTCGGACGAAAGGCACGCCTCTCTCCCTCCCTCCCTCTATCTCTCTCTCCGTATGTGCCAGAGTCAAATAATTAGCTGCATCGGATTGCGTATATGTACAGAGTATCGATTGATACCGTACCAGTCTCCTTGTTGGCTGCATGTAATATGTACATGCTGCTGCTTCTCTACACGGCGGCAAGTAATACCGTACAAGCACAGAACGAGGTGTCCTTCCCCTCCTCTCTTCCCTCGGACGGCACGTTATCAGCCTACCTGCAGCAGCAAGCCAGAGAGCAGACGCGTCTCGGTCTCGGCGTCTGCTGCATTGCGGCGTGAGGTAAGACCAGGGTGATACTGCTCGTTTTGGACGGATGTAGGGCGGCTTACGAGGTTGCCTTGGACTGTTCAAGGGGCCGTTGGGGAGCACACATGGTTCGCAGAAGGGGTCGGTTGATGCTGTCTGGATCTTTGGCGTCGACTGCCTGCATTCACCTGATGCCCATTGGAAACAAGGAGGAGGAGGAGGAAAAAGTCGCCGATGTCCATCGCATGCCCATCGAACAAGAAGGAAAACGAAGCACTCGGTACGCGAACCTGTGTGTGCGCACCGGGATGACAAACACCGGGTATGACGGAAGGCCTGCGAACAAGGGAAAAAAAAAACAAAAAAAAAAAAAACAGGGTCGTATTTCATGTATATGCGTGTACGTGTGTGTGTAAGAGAGTAGAGAGTGATGAAAATACGTGAGGGAGGGGGCGTTGGGATCTTTCGAGAATCTGACAAGCGTGAGAGGCCAATTCGAGATGCATGCCCCAGGGAAGTCTGCCGAGACTCGTGCGTACGTGGGAGCTAACAAACGTGCTTGTTCCTCGGGCTCTCCCCGTGCCTCCGCAGGAATTACCAGAATCCAAGATAGAATGCATGCAGCATGGGTCGGCTGGGAAAGGGGAGTCAGATGGAGGGGGATCGGTTGTGTGAGGGTGAGGTGTGAGAGTGAGGGGATCCCCTCTCCTTCCCCTCCTCTCTCTCTCTCTCTCTCTCTCTCCCTCCCTCCTTCTCCGCGTTGTTATAAAAAAAAAGAAGAAAAGCCACCAGCCACTCGAGAGCTCAGGCACTGTGCGGCTCGGTGCGGCGAGATATGCGTGCCATAGTGTGTGCTACGCAGCTGCACTGCTGTTGGCCGTACGCGGTTTGGCGTTTTGAAGGGCTGTCTTACCGTGGGAATCATGCAGTACGACGAATCCGTTCGGAGGGAGGGAGAGTAGCAGTGGCATCCGCGGTAGCGTCACCTGCCCCGTACTCGTACTCGTAGTGATGTCTGCTCGTGGGACCTGTATATGTCAGGAGCAGGTAATACTGTACGACTAGCCGTACGTATCGATATATTGTATATAGATGTACGCGTCAATACTTTTCTGCAGTATCAAGTATCTGTGTCAGTGTGTCAGTGTATCTCTCTCTCCCCCCCCCCCTCTCTCTCCCCCTCTCTCTGTGGCTGGTACGGTAGAGTACCCCCACAAGTCACGACCCCTCCTCCATCTGGTCTGCTCTGCTGCTCCTCAGCTCTGGTCCTCCTCAACAATTCGAAGGCTGCAGCCCGGGTTCTCTGTCACTCCTCGCAGCTAGGCTACCTGCCATGCAATCGAAAGCCACCGATACATACTCTGGCTTCATCGAGTACGTACACGCTGTGCGGTGGGAAAGCAGTGTAACGCAAGGTGCGTGCAGGCAGCGACCTGTACGGAATATTACCATATTACCCGTGCGGTGGCGGGACTGTGGGTGGCAGGGCATCCATCACCTCTACCGAGGGGGGGAGGTATGGACCGGCCACGCGAGGACCGGGACACCTTGGTAGCAGTGATCAACTGCTCAGTACGAGTACGAGCAGGCCGGAGTCGAGACGGCAGATTACAGCACGACGACCATTCCGTACAGGAATACAGCGGGTGCCCTCTCGGTGACCAGTACTGGACGGGACGAACCAATCATCATTCGTCGTCTGTCCTTGGCCTGACCAGAGAGAGAGAGAGAGAGAGAGAGAGAGAGAGGTCGTCGACGTCGTCGACCTCGTTGCTGTCACTCGCCTCGCATCCGCACACAGCGCCGAGGAGAGCTGGCTGCCCTGCTGCAGAGCTCGGAAGGATATTCGGCGGTGTTGGTGCCCAGAAGTGCCAGGTGCTGAGCAGTGCTGAGCAGTGCTCTCATCATATTCATCCTGTAACCGTACATACATCGTATGCCCCGTACTGCCAAACTTGCTCCCAAGGTGGAGAGGGCGACAGGGTAGATAGGCGAGTACCTACAGATTACGGGGACTCCCAGTCTCCAGGGAGTCACTGGCGCCCACATCCAACCTACAGGCTGTCGTTGCAGGCTGCTGCCGATACCTGCCACTGCTATGTAACGCTACGGCGAGTACATCTGCGATACAGATCAATACAGCCTACAGCATCGGATGGACCTCCCATAATACTACCCCCGGCAAGAGCCAAGCACTACGGAGTAGGTAAATACCATCACCCCCAACCCACCCCCCAGTACCTGTCCACATCAATGTCCCACTGCCTATTAGCGAGCGCCAGCTGCCCGCTGTCCCGCTGCCCGCTGCACGTCCCAAGGCCCAGCCCAGCCTGCAGACTTGTATTACTTGGCAAGAGCCAGGCCCCACTCCTCGAAGCGGAACAGAGCAAATCTTCTTGCCTCTGCCTCTCCCTGCTTCGTAATAGCGTCTCCGCCGTCCCTTTACCTTTCCCAACCGGCAATCAATCTCTCCAGAACAGAGAGACAGAGAGATAGAGCGAGAGTGAGAGAGAGACACACACACACACACGTACACATACACGCACGCACGCACGCACAGATAGAGAGAGAGAGAGAGGGAGAGAGAGAGGGAGTTACGCATCAGCCTCATCGTCGACAGGCTTCTCCCCCACCCCTTCTCTGTATATCCTACCGTCTTCGCCCCAGTCCCTGAGACCCCGACCTTCTCTCCGACGCACACGCACACACACACACACACGCACGCACGCACGCACGCACGCAAGACAGAAACCCTCGGGCCCTTTTCCCTTGTACGTCGTCGACATACCAGCCAGCATCGCGTGCCCGCCCGCCTGCCTGCCCGCCCGCCCGCCCGCGCTCTGGTTTCGCACACCGACTCGTCCGCGCACACAGAAATTAAAAACAACAGCAATAGCATCATCTACCCTCTCTGGACAGTCATGCGCTCTCCTGTATAGATTTCTTCATTTGGCAGAGAGTTTCAACAACGGGACATTGTCATTCGGAGTCTTCCATCTTTCAGAGAAAAGGTCCCTAGATCTATACTGTCGAGGCTGGCACTTTTTCTTTCTTTTTTTCTTAAATCTTTTTTTTTTCTACTATCCCCTCCCCGACCGGCACATAGCCCCCTCGACTGCCACCGTACACCCCTCTCTCTCCCGCACACTCCCTCAATCTTGTCATCGACACTCGAATCCACGGCCATCGTCCATCTCGACTGGATAGGACTGGATAGACGACCCCAATTCAGCCCGTCGAGACCGTTCTGGGTGCCGACCGATAGGACCACCACCGTCATCTCGGGACCACCGCGAGCAGACGCGATAGACCGGCCAACCTGAAGATTAGACCAGACCACCGACAAGGAAAGCCGCCAGCCAGCACTGCGGGACCCGACCACAGGGCTTCCCTACTCCGCGGGACTATGTCGCCCGCTGTCGACAGCGACTCTCCAGGTCCTTTCATAGCGGGGGTCGAGGACGCTCTGACGGCCAACAGCTCCGCCGACTTCAAGGACTCCCCAGACGACTCCCTCGCCGCCGCACCCAACATATTCGACTACGCCGCCGGCAGTCCCGACACCCTCCAGCAGTTCGATGCCACCCGAAAGACGGCCGAGCACTCCTTCATGACCGACTCCCACCTCGGTTTCTCCACGCCCCCCAACGAGCCCTACCACGAGTACTCCGACGACTCGGCAGAGTCCTCCAAGCTGTCGTCCAGGCAGGACGACGCCGCCACCTCGGACACGCACGGCCACCCCTCCGATGCAGCCATGGAGTTCGACGACTTCTTCCGCAAGGATGCCCCCTTCATGTCCAGCAACGACCCGGACGGGTCGAGTGCCTTCGATCTCGACGAGTCCCAGTTCATAGATCCCCAGGCCATGACCCTCGACGCCGACATGGCTCTCAGCTCCCTCTCCCCCTCCACCCTGCAGTCCCATGATCGCCAGTCCCTCGTCTCCCCCGGAGAAGACTTTTCCCAGACGCATAATCGTCAAGATTCGGTACGTATATCCCACCCTCCATCCCACCGGACCTTCTCACCGGACCTCCTCACCAGACACCCTCTCGGTCACGACATATTCGCATGAAGGAGAGGGAGGGGAGGGAGAGGGAGAGGGAAGAGAGAGGCCTTCTCCCACTCCTCCTCTACACGAAAGAGCAGACACTGACCGATCTAGCAATGCTCGATCGACTCGACAAACGGCTGGCGAGGAGCATCACGCGAGGTCTCGCCCATGTCCAGCCTGGTGACCAGCCACAAGACTACGCCCAACGCCTTCCACACACCCTCACCCCCTGCGGGCAGCACCAACCTGTTCACGAACGGACATGCGGTGCGTCCGGACAGGCTGGACATGCAGGCACCCGTCGTCCAGAAGACGATGGTGCCTCAGCAGCCCCAGTTCAACATGCCCGTCACCGCCAACGCCGGCTATCCTAGACAGCTGCACTTCCCCCCGCAACAGCAGCACCGGCACCGGCAGCAGCAGCAGCAGCAGCAGCAGCAGCGTGGAGTCCCGAGGCCGCCGTCCGGCTTCGGCGCCATGCCGCACTACGAGCTGCTCATACCAGACTCTCCCGTCAAATCTCGCGTGGAGACGCAGATCTCCCTCCGGCTCATCCTCACCCCGCCCCCGCCCGGCATCACCAAGCTCCACCTCCCCACCCAGGCCATATCGAAGCCCAAGCTTCAGGTGAGGCCTGCGCCCCAGCGCTCCCCCAACATGCTGGAGCTCTCCGTCTCGGTCGTCTGCACCAGTGCCATGCAGCAGCCCGAGCTCCGGGACAGGGCTCTGCAGAGGGCCATGAACAACCCGCCGCGCCACCTCCCGCCCCCAAACGACGACGGCGAGTTCTCCCCCCAGAACGGCGCCGAGGTCCGCATCTGCTCCGGCTGCATGACCCGGGAGCGTAAGCGCGCGGCCCGGAAGCGCGTCAAGAACCAGGACGACGAGAACATGTGGCTCAAGGACGAGGACCACCGCGTCATCGTCTTCAACACCCACGAGGTCAAGGAGTGGGACTCCTGCGGCGAGCTCGACTCGCATCCCGGCGCCCTCAAGGTCGACCTGCCCCTCCGCATCGCCTGCTACTGCCGCCACCACGGGGAGAAGCTGGGCTTCAACGTCATCTTCACCCTCAAGGACTACCAGAACCGCCCCGTCGCCCAGATCATGTCGCGGCCCATCATGATCACCGACGACCACAAGACGCACCCCATCGCCTCCCTGCCGACACACGCCGACGCATCCGTGGCCGTCAGCGGCAGCAACCTCGCGACGCCGCCGGCCGCCAGGATGTCTCAGGCGCCGACGCCTCAGCCTCAGCAGGGCCACGACGTCGGCGGCAGCAACGGCTCCTCGCCGAGGAGGGGCCCCACGCCGACGCGCGCCTCCCCCCCGGCGACCAACGGACAGGTCCGCCCGGCGCGCACGATATCTCGCCCTACGTCTCCCGCTCAGGGAGCTCCCTCGGCCAAGAAGCGCAAGTCGTGCTCCTCGAACCCGTCGCGTGTTCCCAACTCGCTGGCCATGACGAGGATGGACAACGCATCCCCCCAGGCGCAGGCTCCGAACGCGCAGCCACCCTTCCACCACGGCAACGCCGGGAAGCAGCAGCAGCATCAGCAGCAGCAGCAGCAGCAGCCAGACAACATATTCTCGCCCCCGGCAAACCCGGCGCACTTCACGGGCAGCTCACCCGTGGCGGTCGGCAACGAGCCGCAGCAGCCGACCAGCAACTTCTTCAGGAACGGTCGCTCCTCCAGCATAGACAACATGTCGGCCATGGCACAGCTCTACTCGGGCCCGCAGTCGGCCCAGGTCAGCCGCGCCCCGAGCCCCAACAGCAACCCCCACGCCATGCAGTACGCCGTGCCCCAGAGCAGCCTCTCGCACGCCGTGGCCGGCGGCGTCCTCAACATGTCGACGGGGGCGGGCCAGCCGGGATCGGCGCCGCCCGTCATCCACAAGATCATACCGTCCGAGGGGCCCAAGGTGGGAGGCGTCGAGGTCACGCTCCTCGGCCGGGACTTCTGGAACGGCATGGTGGTCTACTTCGGCGCCCAGCAGGCGCAGACGACTACCTTCTGGAGCAGCTGCACCGTCGTCTGCCTGGTGCCGCCGTCGCCGGCGGCGGGCATCGTGACGGTGACGTGCGACCGCCCGCCCTCGGCCGCCCAGGCGCTCGACTGGCCGACGGCGCCCGTCTTCTTCCGATACGTCGACGACTCCGAGAACCAGATCATGCGTCTGGCGCTGTCGTGCATCGGCGGCAAGATGTTCGGCACCAAAGACGTCGACATCGCCCACGTGGCCCGCCAGCTGGTCGGGGACGCGATATCGCCTTCGATGGGAGGCGGGCAGTCAGGCGACGGGCCGTCGGCCGGCGGCGGTGCCATGTTCAGCCGCATGGCGGCCGCGTCCGGCGAGGACCTGGAGACGCTGCTGCTCAAGTGCCTCGACTTCATCGACCTGAACGAGAGCCCGTACGTGGCCGACCTGGACCGCAGGAACGCGTCGGGCCACACCATGCTCCACCTGGCGAGCTCGCTGGGCTTCCGGCGGCTCGTGGCGGCCCTGCTCGCCCGCGGGGCCAACCCGGACGAGATGGACAATGGCGACTGCACGCCGCTGCACCTGGCGGCCATCCACAACCAGCCCGAGATCGCCAGGCGGCTCACCCTGGCCGGCGCCAGCCCGCGCAGGGTCAACCTGTCGGACCTGACGCCCCTGGACCTGGCCGAGTCGGGCGACGTCGCGAGGGCGATCCGCCAGTCGGCGCCTCGCCGCGCGCGGTCGCACAGCCGGGACATGTCGCAGCACAGCAGGGCGAGCAGCGTGTCGTCGTTCCGGTCGCTGCAGCTGCCGCCGCTCAGCCGCATCAGCACGGCGGAGGAGGTGGCCGTCGTCGACGACGGCGGCGAGAGCCCCGAGTACACGTCCGGCGACTTCGAGGACGAGGATCCCGACGAGGACGTGTACCCCGACCTGCGCCGACCCAGGCAGGCGGACTCCCGTCAGCAGGAGGCCGACGCCGACGCCGCCCCCAACACGGGCGCCCTGGCCGCGGCCTTCAAGGAGCAGCTCCAGCAGCAGCTCAACCAGTTCCAGCAGTCGATGGCGCTGCACCTGCAGAACCTCCCGCACCTCCCCCAGATGCCGCAGATGCCGCAGATACCCGTGATCCCGGGCTACCAGGCGTACCTCCAGCAGGCGCCCTTTATGCGCCGCATGACGCAGTACATGCCGGGCATGACGTCGAACACGAACAGCAGCAGCAGCCCCGGCTCACGAGGCAGCGACCGCGGCCACCCCGGTGGCGCCGACGACGACGCGACGGCCAAGATGGACAGCAGATGGTGGGACCTCTCGTCCTTGATGAACCAGGCTCCCGCCCTGCCGCCGGCCTACGAGGAGATCTTCCCACGTGGCGACGGCGGCGACGCGAACACCAAGCAGGCGTCTGCCGCCGCCGCCGCCGCCGAGGCAGAGGCCGACGCCAAGTGCGCCCAGCTGTACGATCAGCATCACCAGCAGCAGCATCGACGGCGGCCGCAGCAGCAGTACGAGGCTGGCCCTTCAAGAAGCAGGGCAGGTGCTGGCGGAGAGAGAACGAGCAGTGCCGACGCCATCCCTAGCATCCTCAAGATCGGTCGCAAGAATGCCATTACTAGGGAACAGCAGGAGCAGTTCCTCAGGGCGAGGGAGGCCAGGCTCAAGAGGTTGAGTAATGACCGGAATCTGTTCTTTATCTGGGTATGTTTTTTTTTTAGTCTCCTCCGACCACCTCTTCTCTCTCTCTCTCTCTCTCTGTCTCGTGCAAAGACGAAAGATTAGCTGACGTGCCGCGTGATAGATTCCCCTACTCGTCCTCATGGTGTGCGCCATGCTATACAGCTACTTCCCTTCATTCTTCCCTCTGATATGGGCGTTTATCCGATCCTTTGGACGGTTGGCCTCGCACAAGATCTCCACGCTCTTCCGAGAACATGGTCAGGTTGACCGTCAAGCCAGGACTGAAGTATAACTTGCTCTACCTCTTCTCTTCTCTCTCGCCCGTCTCTCTTTCTTATTCTTTTTCTGAGAGGGAGACATTGGGGGGGGGGGAGGGGGGATGATCGGCTCTCCTACACATCTTCTTTCCCCTCCTCTCAAAGCCCTTTTCTGGCTCTTCTTCTGGGAGAAAAAAACAACCTCCATTCTCTCTTATATATTTTTCCTCTTCAACCCCTTTTCTTCTTCTTCTTCTCCTACCTCTTCTTCCACCCATCTTATCATACACATCTCACCTTCCACTCCAGATTGAGGGGATACTATTTCTCTCTCCCTCATCTCACATTTGGCCCTCTTTCCTTTTCCTTTGTCAGGTATATATTTCTTATCTTTTTCCAAGGGACATAGCTCTCCTGTTTTTTTCTTCTTTTTTCTTCTTTTTCCGGTTTCTTCTTTCGTTTTCTATCTTTTCATGTTCTTGGGTGAAAACAACCAAAGTATTTCTGTATATGAAAGAATGAAGAAGGGGGGGAAGAAGGATTGGGAAGCAAATATTTTCTTATTCTTGGTTTTAGGGGTACTTGCTTATTTTACATGACTCTATTCTTTACCGGGGGTTTTCTTTTTCTATTTCTTCTTTCTTCTCTTTTTCTTTTTTCTTACATATATATATATATATATATATCTAAACAATAAGAAAGGGGGAGATGGGTAGGACACACACACAAAGGTGGGAACGGGATATGAGGCGTTTGATGGGGTTCCATTTTATTTTCTTTCTTCTTCCATCAATTTTTTTTATATTAAAGAAGTGCTTTTTCTTCTTCTTCATATCACTTTTGCTGTTTTACTCAAGGGAGGGGTTGTGTTCATATATTTATACAATTGGGTATGTCGTGGCTGAAATGGCTGGTCAATGTAAGTCAAATCGGCGGGACGGTGGAATGACGAGGTATCAATACTCAGAATCACAATCATACGGAGTAATGGCAGAACCGATGTTATTTATGTACGGAGTAGTCACAATGTAAATGGCCGAGGTATCACGGTATTACAATGTGTAGAATGACGAGAGATGAAAAAAATCTCACGAGGTACTCTCGCAATGTAATCACAAGGTATCTACTCACAGTCACACATCCCATCCAGCTCCATCAATCACTCACCCAGAATAATTCAGGCATTGTATTCAATTGATATTCATAACTTTCGTGATCTATATAGAGTAGAAGGGGGGGGGGGGAGAGGGGAGGTTGGTCTGTTGGGGTGTTTTGTCCATGATAATTCCACCATGTTTCCCAAATGTTTTTTGTCATAAAGTCGTAGAAGAGAAAAGATGATGACAGAAAAAGGGAAAAAAAAGAAAAGAAAAAAAGGAGGAAAAATACAAAGGAAAATCATAAAAAATGACAAAAGAAAAAAAAAGAGAAAAAAAAACACCAAGAGATCCCGACACACAAGATCAAAAAAAAAAGAGGGGGGGAAACCAAGGTTCCTCCCAAGTTCAAGTTTTCCAATATTCATCACTCGGGTCAAGCCCTAACAGCAGCCCTTCTGGAACGATTCTCATCATCCTCGCCAAAATCAAACTTGGGAGGAATGTCAGGAACGGCAGGGACACCTCCCCTGTTGACGTCCGGCCTGACGACGCGGAGTGGTCTGGCCGTCGCCACCGCCACGACGGGGACCTCATCATCCCCATACTCGTGATATCCACCGCGGTAATACCCAGGTTTCCGGTACCGGGCAGCAGCATGAGGTGGAGGAGCGTGGACACGGGCAGGTGGTGGGATGACGCGCTTAGTAGCCGCGGCGACATGTTTATCCTGAAGATGAAGATGCTGATGCTGATGCTGCTGCTGCTGCTGATATTTCTGCTGCTGATATTGCTGCTGCTGCTGTTGCTGCTGCTGATATTGCTGCTGCTGCTGTTGCTNCTGCTGCTGCTGCTGATATTTCTGCTGCTGATATTGCTGCTGCTGCTGTTGCTGCTGCTGATATTGCTGCTGCTGCTGTTGCTGCTGCTGATATTGCTGTTGCTGCTGTTGCTGCTGCTGCTGCTGCTGATATTGCTGCTGGAGCGTAGCCTTCTTGACGAGGCGGGCGCTCGACCTTCGCAATGCGGTGGGACCGGTCAGCCCCTGCTGGGCGGAAACACTCCTCTTCGCACGGCGGAGTTTCGGTATGGACATGTCTCGCGAGCCGGAGGCTGAAGTCTTGCGCAGCTTACGGTGGGGCTGGACAGTCAGGCCTCCCGTCTCCTCCTGAGCCTCTGGCGTGCCCGCTGTGGCAGCTGTGGCTGCCATCGTAGTTGTCGATGTTGCCGATGCTGCTGCTGCGGCCGGGATGGCGGCGCGCTTGGTACCGCGGGATGGACCTGGTGTTTCGGCGTCGTAGGATTCTCTCGGCTGGGAGAGTGGCCACGGAGGTTGCTGCTGTATCTGCCGCTGCATCTGTGTCTGCTGCTGATATTGCTGCTGCTGCTGCTGCTGCTGCTGTTGCTGTTGCTGTTGCTGTTGCTGCTGCTGCTGCTGCGCCTGTTGTTGTTGTTGTTGTTGTTGACCAGGATGCTGGTATCGTGTAGATTTTATGGCATTCGAGGTGAAGAATCCGGACGCCACGAGGCTATGATAGCTTGCGAGGACCTCTTCGCGGGACGGACGATCGATGTCGGCCCCTTCCTGGTACCGAGGTGGCTGGTATTGGTACTGCTGCTGGGGAGCAGAGGTAGGTGCGGATGTGAAGGCGGATGCGGAGGCAGACGCCGAGTGGGAAGACGTGACGGACGATCGCTTGCTGGCCGTGTCGCTGTCCTTCTTGGTCGAGCTCAGGCCCAGCACTCCGCGGACGCCGTCCCAGACCTGGCCTAGGAACTGCTTGCTGCTCCGCTTCCTGGGATGTTTCCGCGACTGCTGCGACTGGGTGGACGGGAAGGACCAGGACCGCGTAGACGATGACGGTGACGGCGGGGGCATACCGCGCGTCTGCTGAGCCTGAGCCAGGGTCGAAGGAGGGGGAGGGGGAGGGGGAGGAGCATAGAGCGGTGGCGGTGGCGGGTGCCGGACAGGCCGTACCGACATGGACGCGGACATGGACATGGGCGTCGAAGAAGAGAAGGAGGAGGAGGAGGAAGGGGAAGGGGGAGCGGAAGAAGAAGACGAAGACGAAGACGAAGACGAAGACGGTGGCGGTGGCGGTGGTGGTGGTGAGGATGAGGATGACGATTCAACCTGGTCAGGTCCGATGCGTTGCTGCTGCTGAGGTCCTATGAAGTGATCCGGTGGCGTGGCTGATACCCGATCATTCATGGAACCTTCCTGGAAGCGGCTGCTGACGAGTCGATGTTTGGCCATTCCGTGCTTGAAATGGATTGGGGCCCCCCTTGTCTGTCTCCTTTCCGCCGTCTGTCCTTCTCCTTCCTTCGTCTTCTTCTTCTCTTCTTCCTGTCCCCGATTGATCATGTGATGTCTGTCGAATCGGACTGTCTCTGGCTGTACGTCTCTTGCTGTGTCGGATAGCAGCGGTGAATAAGAAGGGAGAGAGAGGCTCAGATATACTTGTCATCCGACATGAGGGGGGGGGGGGGAAACAAGAAGAAAAAAGCAACGAGAAATTGCCAGCCCTGTCAACGCTTGTTGCTGGGGAGTCCCGAGCATGCAGGTTGAGATAATATATATCTGAGAGATGCACGTGGTACGTAACAGTAGCGGTCGGGTCGCGATGCAGGAGTATCACCTGGTTCTCTCTCTTCTCGTTCTTTTCCTCCTCTCTAAAGAGGAATTTTGTTGACTTTTGTCGTGTTCCCCAGGCACCGCCCCCTCACCCGGGCAACAGGATGGCCCCACCTCTTTTCCCGTCATTGCAGATTAAACGGCTGGAGACTTGGGACAGGAGATGAAACGACTACATTTTTCTCTGACTTGATTTCTTCAACAGTCTTCTCCTTTTTTTTCTACATTACAAGTATCATCACCTTTTTTTTCCTTCGAAAAAAGTTGATGTTTCTTGCACAGAGAAGGGCAGTTGAGAAAGGCGGTTTTTTTGGTCTCCTTTTCTTGAGGTTCATTTTTTTTTTTTTTGGGTGCAGGTAGGGAGGGAAGGGGGCCAGTTGATCAAGTTTTTATTTATCCCCTCTCTAATCTTCTTTTATTCCTTCATAATTCTGTTTTATTCTTTTAAATTAGCTCTCTGAAATGGCTAATTCAATTAGATAGCGCCCCCCCCCCCCCAAATGTGGTCTTCACTTCTTCCGGAGTAACGGAAATATAACTTTTAATGAAATATGAATTGCATTCCGCATCGGACATTTCCCACCCCACCTTGACTCCCCCGTCTGACCTTTGAACCATTTCTTCTTTCCCTTGCTGCATTTCATTTCCCTTGCTGCATTATATTCAGAACGTACAACCGACGGGCCTGACCAGCGACAGAATGATGAGGGGGGAAGAGAAGAGACTGAAACTGCGTGTCAGCAGCTCATTCTCCAGATATCCAAAACAAGAGATGAAAAAGAGGCCAGCAAGGGACTGCTTTATATAAAAAAGGAAAAGAAAAAAAATGACATACAGAGAAGAGTTCAATTCAGATACATGAGATGATGGAATTTTATAGAAATATAAAGTTGTATAAGAGTGGAAAAGAAAATTGTGTGACATGGAAAAAAAAAAAAAGTTGGCGAGTAGAATGAGTGTGCCCGAACGGGTTTTATATAATCCAGAGACGAGAAATCGAGTTACCGGCACGCAGAAGAGAAGAAGAGAGAAAGGAGACGCCTCGTAGGAGAAATCGAAAGATCCCGTCATATATGGGTGTGTGCTGTGGAGAGACCGCAAGACGTTGACCAGACCAGATACCAGAATAGACGACATGACAGATGAAAGACGCCAGGTTCAAGATAGAAGTAAAGAAAAGAAAAAAAAAACCCGTATTTTGCGTTCCCGAAACATGATGTACCGGGATGGAGACGGTACTAGAAAAAGAAGGATATGCCCAGTGGGGGAAGGAAGAAAGGAGAAGATGTAGTCTGACTAGAAGAGAGTACGCTACCCCCCTCACGAGTAACGGTTAAAGGTGATGACACCGACCGTGCCGTCGGCCCTCGAGTACGCACCCTCCTGCGGGTCGGGCGACAGACCGCGACTCCTCCCACCGTAGTGGGGATCCAGCTGCCTCTGCCGGTTGTGCAGCGGCTGGTGCAGGCTCTGGTGGAAGACGATGTCGTGCTTGCGCTTTCCGCCGGTGGGCACCGCCTGCGGCTCCGGCATGGGCTCCGTCTGCGGCTCGATGACCGGCATGGGCGACACGAGCCGTTCGATCTTGAGCGGCGCCAGCTGCTGATGCGATGACGGGCTGGTCGCGGTGGCCGCCGTCGCCGACGAGATGCTGCTGCTGTGCATGCGGGACAGCGGAGCCGGAGGGAGGATGGGCGGCGCCGGGGCCGCCGACATGCCCGGCGTGTGAGGGTACGAGTCCAGGCGGCCGTGGCTGGGCGGCTGGTGTCCGCCGTCGTGCGAGTAGACGGACGGCGAGGGCGGCATGTACGCTGTCGTGGCGCTCGAGGTGCGGCGGCTGCTGATGCCGTCGTGGTGGTTGTGGTGGCTGTGGCCGTGGTGGCTGTGGCTGTGGCCGTGATGTTGAGGATGAGGGTGGTGGGGGGCGGCGGCGGCGGCGGCGGCGGCAGCGGGCGGGTATGTCGAAGGGTACTGTGACGTGGTGGGCGTGTAGGGGCCTCCGGGGGAAACGGGGCCGAGGGTGGGCGGGGGAGCCTGGTGGACGGGAGCGGGGGCGGCGTAGTGGAGCGCGCCGTGCTGCTGCTGGTCGCCGAAGGAGAGGTGGCGCTGCTGCTCGTAGGCAGCCTGGGAGGACGAGTGGGGGAGGGGAGGGCGCGTGGGCGGGCCCGGGTTCCCGTCGATGATGGACGAGGGCCTGCGCTGGTGGTGGTGGTGGTGCTGGTGGGGATGGTGGTGGTCGTGGCCGGGTGTGGTGGCGGTCGGGGAGGGTGCGGACATGCCGGCGGGCATGCCGACGCCGTAGGGGATGCGGTGCTCGCTCGAGTTGCTGATGGAGCGGGCGCGGGCGGCGGCGGCGTGGGGGTCCTCGGAGGCCGGGCCGGCGGGGCCAGAGGAAGAGGCCGGGGTGACGGTGCGGTGACGCGGCACCTGGGCGTCGTCGTCTCGCCTCGAGTGGCGGCTGGACTTGCCCTCGCGCTTCCTCATACGGACGTCGCGGCGGATGCGGACGCGGCATCCCTGCTCGGCCACGTCCTTGCTGAGCTGGGTGCTCTCCATGAGGCCGGGGAACTTCTTGGCGCTGTAGACGTCAAAGGGCGACGTCTGGATGTCCATGCGCCAGTCGACGCCGGTGGCCATGTTGTTCTCGACGGGCTCGAGGTCGAGGTCCTTGTCCTCCTTGGTGGCCTCGAACAGGCTGAAGGAGAGGTGGTACTGGCCCTCGTGGCGGACCGACAGGTCCGGGAAGATGAAGTATCCGGCGGCGCTGGGGCGGTCGAGGTAGGCCATGCCGGAGGCGGGGACGCCGGTGAGGATCGGGGGGTTGTGCTGGCCCTGCATGCGGCCGGGGGCGATCTTGCGGTGCTGCTCGAGGCTGGCGTAGAGGAAGAAGCTGGCGTTGTAGTCAAAGGTGATGTCCTTGCCCTCCTCGAACGAGGCGCCCTCCTTGATGCGCAGCTCGACGACGGGCGGGGGGTCGACGGGGCGTCGGTCGCTGTTGGCCTTGGTCCCGGCACCGCAGGCGCGGGCACGCTCGGGCTGCTGGATGACGAGCAGCTGGTACCACAGGTGGCGGTTCTCGCGGGTCACACGGTGGATGAGAGAGCAAGGGTCCCGATCACGGGTCGAGTCGGCCGCGGCGACGGCGAGTGAGGTGGTCGACATGGCTGGAAGTCGGTACAGCCGCCCGTTCCTTGAGAACTGGTCGTAGACGGGGTTGGGGCGGGGGAGGGTGGCAGCGTCGTCGGTTTTGTTTCCCGTTTCCCGTCGCGGTATGGCGAGGGATCAGAGGTTGGGAGGAGACGAGGGGTCTGTGATTAAGGGAATGGGCCCATCGGTCAAACAAGCGGAGCCGTCGCGTGAGTCTGTGTCTGTTCTAGAGAGAGAAACACACCGAGGGTTAGCAACGTCGGCTACTCCACGAGGACGAGGACCTCGTGCGTGCCTCGTTCTCAAACATGCGACGGGCAAGCAGAGACATCAGTTGGGTCGGGCAACCGAAAAGTGGAACAATCTGGAATGTATTCGATAGTCTCTTGGGGGGGGGGGGGGGGGGGGGGAAGGGGAACTGACCAGGCGGCGAGCGGCGGCGAAGAGGCTGTGAGGCTCAAATCTGTCCCTTTCTTGTGTTTATATGTGAAGTGAAGTGGAGAGGGAATCCTTCTTGGCCGAGAGAGCGAAAGGCGGAGAGGATACTGAGAGTAGAGAAGAGAAGATGTGAGGTAGTAGTAGGGAAAAAGAAAAAAAAGCAGGAAAAAAAAGAGGTCAGTGCCTCAGAAAGACGACGATGAGATAAGAATGGTCTGCTAATATGTGAGAAGACGAGATAAAGAGCGAGTGCGAGGATTACGGACGAAGATGAGACAACGTCGCGCGGTTCGACGAGGCCAAGAGAAAGAGAAGGGTTGTGTAGGAGGGGGAGGAAGTGCAGATGAGAATGGACGGGGTGGATGGCGATTTGTGAAGGTGGGCGTTTCGAAGTATTCGGTACGGAAAACGCTCGTGCGAAGAGAGAGAGAGGGAGAGAGAGAGACAGGCAGAGAGAGAGACAGGCAGAGAGAGAGAGAGAGAGAGAGAGAGAGCCCGAGAGTACGGGAGTACCGATGAGTGGCTCCAGGCCGTACCAGGGTGTTACTGTACAGGTACTCGTACTAATACTGGCTCGTACCGTCTGAGAGTGCATACAGGCCCGCAGTAATGGAGAGTGAGAAAAGGCACGAGGTGGTGAAGAAAGAGGAGCAGGGGGTGATGATAGAGGATTGGACAAGAAAAAGGCTTGGACTTTGTTAGAGAGGCTTGGAGGCGGGTGAGAGAGCTGAGAGAAGCGAGAGAACTGAGAGAACTAGGAGAGGGCCTTGAGGACCCGCCCAAGCGGATTGACGACCCCCCCCCCCCCCACAAGGCCTTGCAAGTGATAATGTGTGGATGGGTGTATTACCAGTGATAGATGGTACGGCGGGTAATTAACGATACAGGTCTGCCATAAATACAGCGTGCTCTAGTCTGTGCAGGTGATCAGCAGCCCGTAAGTATCACCATCATCCAAGTATCGTCGTCATCGTCATCTAGAGTGATATCAATACCGATATCACGACCCGTCGAGGCCATCAACCACCTACAACTACCCGTGCGCGATACATACGAGCAGTATGCCGTCGCTCTCGTCATCTACGGCCTCGGCTTCAGTGCGGAAACGTGGCAGGCATTGTTACTCGTCTGTGAACTAGAACGGTCTGCTCGTATACTGCTGAAGTACTGCCAAGGTACGGTCGGAAGCAGTGGTAATATTAATATTTCCCCGAATATTAACCTCTCTCTCCTGCCTCCTTCCTCCTTCCCGCTTGGAAGTTTTCGCTTCATGTATATAATCTGTACATGTATTATGTCCTGGCTGTAATATTACCAGTCTCTTTTGACGCCATGTTTCCTGGCGGCGGCCCTCCCCTCCCCCCCAAGGGTCAAGTCTACAACGGATACCTCCGTACGAGTTGGAACGATGCCTGTACTCGTATCCCGTACAGGCAAGATCAAATAAATACTCGTAGTGCCAGGGTTATGAATAATAATAATAATACATCAATAAGAATAATGACAATAGAAATCCCCGTACCGTAGCAATACTGTGCGACCCAAGCCATGCAGACAGTCGGGCGGCCGCACAGCTGGGAACTTGGGTGCGCAGGTGGGTGGCAACCGCTGATGAACTGCCCGGTCGGGACTCGGTCGCAGCTCCAGCGAGCCACTGGAGAGGGGGGGGGGGACGCTCAGGTCTGCAGGTACAGCCTACAGGTACCTGTACAGGTCCCATCGGGGCGTGGAGTCCCGCGGGCCAGTCCACTAAAACGATTGAGACCACCGTGCATACATGGATGGATCGTACCAGCCGCCGGGTGGGACACGCTGCCCGGGACATTCGAGCGTTCCAGGGACCCCAGGGCAGTCTGCCAGGGCACCAGCCCGCCGGTCCCAGGTCAGACTCGCTTTGGGTTCTGGCTGGCGGCCGGCCCGAGCGTCTGGGCAGGATTGGGGATGGAGGATGACGGGGGGAGGGTTGCCATGGGTCGAACGAGCGGGCGTCGCCTAGAAGGGAAAAAGGCTCGGACACTGTGCATTATCTTTTCTGTCAGCGCGTGTGTGTGTGTGCGTGCGTGCGTGCGTGCGTGTGTGTGTGTGTGTGTGTGTGTGTGTGTGTGTGTGGGGCCATCACTCCGGTACCAGTACTCGTAGCGCTGAGAGCACCCGTACCCTGCTGAGCGAAGCAGTGTCAGGTGCTACCGGCCAGTACCTGAAGGCGATATCTGCACTGTCTGGTGCTGCGTACTGTACATGCATGTACCGCATCTGGGCTAAATTATGCCACCCACCTTCTTCTGCTCCCTCCCCTTCTTGAATCGTCTGTCGCCAGCACGTACCTCTCGACCCGTCTCTGACGTGAAACGATACCTCCTGGATACACCCACAGCTTCTCCTCTCCTCGCCGGGGACCCGAGCACACGGCACTGGGTTGGCATTGCTGCTACCTTGTCTCCTCTCTCTCATCCACCGTCGCACCATCCAGAGACCCGGGGCATTACGTCTGCCTGCTCCATCTGCCTTGTCTCTTTCCCTTGCCCTTCTGGCGTCAGGTCTACAGGTGTGCGCGATGGGCGCCCTCCTCTCTCTCTCTTTCTCTCTCTCTCTCTCTCTCTCCCACCCTCTCGCCCACCCTCTCGCCCACTCTGTCATCGACTCTTTTTTTTTCGTCTTCTTCCATTCTTCTTTTCCGTCATCTCTCATCTTTCTCCTGTCCGTCCCTCTCTTCCGTACATATCCTGCCACCCCAGCATGCGCGTGGATTTATCCCGGTTTTACTCTCGCTCTCACTATGCGTGCAGGGATACGGTGGGACCAGGACGTTTGCTATTAGTCAGCTGCGTAGGGAGGCACCGCAGGCACGTATCCTCCAATCATATTACCTGCTACGATGCTGCTCCGAGAAGAAGGACGTACCGCGATCAATATTCGATTACGGAGTAAGCACCCATTACAAGAAGCGAATTAACCTGGTACCGAGGCCGAGGAGCGGGACCAGGTAACCGGTCACACCAATCACAGCCTGCAGCCGAGCCCATCCCCTCTCCACACGGAATCCCAATAGCGGGAGACTGGGAGACTAGGAGACGCATGGGATGCAAGCCACTGCCAGTCAGGCCAAGACTCTTTCCTCCTTCTGGCTAGAAGATGACTTGATGGTGGGGTTGGAGGGGCGCGCTCAGGCCATCCATCGGGTCAGAGATGGCCCATGGGAGAGAGACGACGAAGAGACGGAGAGAGAGGGGGGGGGGGGAGAGAGAGAGATGGACCGAGACAGACAGACACACACACCAGGAAGAAAAAAAAGAAGAAAAAAAAAAAGGTCTGAGATGGTCCATGGAAGCTAATTCTCTGGTGCTCCCAAGCCATCACTACCCTCTCTCAGCAGGTCTCGCACGCGGCATCATACTCCAGCCCCCTCCCCCCCAGTCTCCTCCACTCTTCTCAGTCTCCATTGCGGCCCGGACTCAACGGGACCAAGCGCCGACTCGGTGGCGCTGATCGAAACGGTGCGACGTCAAACGACGTGAAAGACGACGTGAAGGCGATGTGAAGGCGGCGTGAAGGCGACGTGAAGTCGTGGAGCCGGTCCAAACGTTATTCTCACGTTCCATGAGTAAGTTCCACGAGTAAGATGGACGACACTGTCATCGCGGGATTTACCTTTTTTTTTTTATGAGAGAAAAAATGAATGAATTTTTCTTTTCTTGTGGCGAAGGCGCTACGACAGTGCCGTGGGAGTATCAGTACGACGTACAGAGTACAGATCATCACAGGATATTCATTCCATTCTACGACGAGGACAATGCAACCGCAAAGCAGGGTCGAACAAGGTTGAGAGGGGTGCTCATACATGTGTTGATGGGGGTACTACCACTCTGCCGAGCCAATCGTGGGCTCCTCCATAATAGATTACGGGGTCTGGCATCAGTCCGTGCTCCCGTACTCCGGCACGGTCGCAGGTAAAGATTCATGTGGATCAGCCAGGACCAACAGCAGACAAGGCAGAGCAGGGTCCGTCGAGCCCTCGACAAGCCACTCCCCCTCCTCCTCCTCCTCCTCCTCCTCTCCTGACTGCTCTCCTCGCTGCTCTCCTGGCTGCTCTCCTCGCTGCTCTACGAGTACTCGTCAGTGCTTCGGTCACCAAAGGTCTATACGAGTATCGTGTACTCATCCAGCTCCCAGGCTGACCTGCCGGTTCTCTTCCCAGATCGCCAGGGCCCCGCGAAGAATACTCCGGTCCCATGAGGTCGGACCCACAGCAATCATCCATCTCGCGCCCCCCCCCCCCCCCCCCCCCCCCCCCCCCCCCCCCTCCCCGCTCCTGATACCGCGCAAACAAATTCGATGAATCGCGCTGCAGCGGTGGCAGACTCTGTTTCTGTGTCTACGACTGTACGAGTAAAACAAGAAGGGGGACGTGCAACAGAGAGGGCCATGTGCGACGGCCATGTGTATATGCTTGTCTCTGCTGTGTGTGTCCCGTCCGCAGGAATGCAGACGGGAAACCCGCCTGGGAAATGGCCAAGGACCTGGGATAGAGACACCCCACACACACACACACAACACACACGCAAACGCATACACAGAGGACAAGAGCCAACAGATGACTCAGAGAGCCTGGCCGTCCTCTCCCCCCCACGGGCTACGAGGTATTAATACGTCTGATGTGGTTGAGAGGGTGAAGCTACTGGTAATACGGTTGCAGTCATCAGCACCAACACGGCGAGCGTGTCTTCTTCCACTCGTCCAAGCGTACCTGTTGATACACATCGCACTGCCCTCCCTCCTCTCCCCCTTCTCTCCCCCTCCTCTCCCCTTCCCCCTTGCCCGGCGCTGCGGCTGCCCGTGACCCGGTGGCCGTGGCTGCGGGCTACGAGTTCCGGCGCATATCAGCATCTGATCATCCAATACCCAGCAATCTCTATCTGTACTCTCGGTCCCGGGCGTGCGCGTGGTCGGCAGCGGCACGGCATCTCACGTACGAGTACATGTACGCACATGTGCACGCGGGGAGGTACGGAAGTTTTTTTGTTTTTTTTTTTTTTAAAAAAAAAAAAAAAAGAATAATAATGATGATATTGCGTGTGAGTGTGTGTGAGTGTGTGGGTGTGCGTGTGCATGTGCGTGTACATTGCGAGAGAGAGTGTGTGTGTGTGTGTGTATCTACAGTCGACTTTTGGTTTTTTTACTCTGGACATGCGACACACCCATCAGCACAAGCACAAGCACAAGCACAAGCACAAGCACAAGCACAGGCACGCCGCATGCAATCGTGAGAAAAGTTGGAAGCCAATGAGCTCGACGACAGAGACGACCCAAGGTCAGGACGATTGGCGCGTGATGGTCCATGGCATGGCCCATGGGACCCAGCCATGGTGTACTCGTAGGTGTGTGTGTGGGTGTGTGTGTGGGTGTGTGTGTGGGTGTGTGTGTGGGTGTGTGTGTGGGTGTGGGTGGGTGTGTTCATGTGCTTATGAGGGTTGAGAAAAGGGGGGAGGGGGAGGGGGAGGGGAGGAGCAAAAAGGACGGATACTGTGCGGCAGAGAGATGGCGTGTGAGGGAAAAATAGGTGTGTGGGTGGATCAGGATTCAAAAGACTCTGCTTGGCAAGATGAGAATACCGTACCTCTCTGCAAGTCTGTATACATGGATTTTGGATTTTGTATATATGTATATATATATATATATATATAACTCATGTACACGTACTCGTACATACGTACGACAGTATAGGGTAGGCCTGATGTACTCACCTGTCACGGTCATGCGAAATATCTGGGTGACAGCCGTGTTTCTACGAGTATTCGATGTTGTGCGAGTGGCGATATTACGGATGTATTCTTTCTATTCTACCGAGTGACGTACTCTACAGAGTAGTATATTCCACGGAGGAGACGGAGGAGACAGGGACAGGAGACAAGGAGATGTTGGAAACCGGAAAATAAATCAGTAATATTGAAATATTTTTTTTTCTTTCTAAAAGAAGAAGAAGAAAGACAGCGTCGGCCGACGTCAGTCTCCTGCAGGCTGTCATGGTGTGATAGCAATCATGTACCCTCCGTATCCCGTACCTGTACGGGGGTATCAGGTTATCAGGACCGTCCCGAATGTCTCGTCTACCTTGTATACGTAGCTGTCATCGATGTCGTTGATGATGATGCAAACCCGGACCGACCTCTCTGAGAGGGAGAGAGGGAGAGAGGGAGAGAGAGAGCATCATGTATGACCCGTCCCACTGACTGTGTGTGTGTGTGTGTGTGTGTGTTTGTAACTTCAGTAGATCAAACGACCGGGTTATCAACATGCACGAGTATAGATATTATATATATATATATATATATATATACATATATATCGTGTCCTCCATACTCATCGCGCACTCTCGTATACGATAGAGACCACTTGCGTTACGAGTACATATGCAACTCGTACCCTGCAAACGCCGGGTACTGGCATGATAATGATACCACTACATGATGCACGACGACTACCTGCATTCGACAAATGTCCGAGTGGAAAGGAGAAGAGATGTTGTCAGGAATCCCGACGTCAAGTCTCGGTCTCGGCATTCACGGATACTACCGGAAGCGATAGATGCAGAGGAGAGAAGAAGAAGGAGGAGAGGAGGAGGAGGAGAACAAAAAATAAGATGAGAGGATAAAAAGGAAGAAGACTACCAACCCTCGCCAAGACGAGGTGTCTTAGATGTGTCTTTGATAGCAATATCATGTAGGACATGCAGGTTTGTGCTCTGACACTGGCCTTCTCATCTGTTTTTCCTACTTCTCCCATCTGCATGATTTAGTTTCCGCGGCTTTAGATTTCTTCTCTTCTCTCTCTCTCCCACTCTCTCTGTCTCCATCTGTCTGTCTCTCTCTTTCTTTTTTCTTTCTTCTGAGGAGAACTGGTCGGGTAATACGGACACGCACAAAAACACAGCTAGACTGCAATGGATCGTACATGCATATGTATGTCTCACTTTTTTCTTTCTTTTTTCTCTTATTTCCTTCCTGTCGCTTCTTGGACACTTGGGAGTTGGGGGTGGGGAACAGAGAAGGGAGAGAGACAGAGAGAGAGAGAGAGAGAGAGAGAGAAGAGAAGAGAAGAGGAATAGGAGAATGAAAAAAAAATTGAAAAAAAAAAAGAGAGAGAGAGAATGTTGACGAGAGAATGATATCTATAATAAAATAAAGAAATGGAAAAGAAGAAGAAGAAAAGGTATATAGAGGGGGGAAAGAGAAGAAAGGAAGAGAAGAGAAAGAAGAGAAGAGAATTCAATAGGAAAAAGTATTGAAAAAAAGTATTGAAAAGAATAGTAAAGAGAAGAAGAAGAAAGAGAAAAAGAAAGACAGAAAGACGCCCGCCAGATGAGAAATGAACCCTTGCCATTCTCATTCTTGTCTCACCCCACACTCGCTCCGAGCGCTCGCTCTCTCGTCAGGATGGATGGCCACGTTTTCCCAGCGAGGTGCGGGTACAGAATACCATCAGAGTCGAGGAAGGAGGATGGACATGATGATGATGATGACGACGGAATGATGAGGTGAAACATAGGGACACCCGGATAAGACATGCGTCACGATGTCATGCAAGTTATCGGTGCTGTACTCCTTGCGAGTATATATAACAAAACAAATTTAATTATTGAATTATATAAAAAGAGAGAGAGAGAGAGAGAGAGAAAAGGGAGGGAAAAAAAGAAAAGAAAAAAAAGAAGAGAAGAAAAAGAAAAGAAAAGAGGACGAGGATAAGTCTTTTGCTGTGTTGATGAACTTGTTCCAGTCTTTTTTTTTTGTTTTTTTTGTTTGTTTCGTTTCTTACTGACCCACGAAATGGACTGATACAAACTCTCAACCCTTTTTATTTTGATATTTATTTTGATATTTATTTTGATATTTATTTTGATATTTATTTTGATATTTATTTTGATATATATTTATATATATATATATATATATTACTCTCCTACCCGGCAGCTACGAGGATTACATGGAGGGGAAACCATGTGTATATTACATGTGTATATTACACACACACACATATATATATATATATATGTATCTTGTGAAATGCTAGCAAAGAATAAGACATCAATGTGCTTGTTTCTATTCACTCTTCTTCTCTTCTTTCTTTTTTATACATGATGGGGAAAAAGTGATGAATTGATATCTATATATATCTCTATACAGGTACTTTGTTGACAATGGTTCCCTCCCCCTCCTCCCATTAATAGATGAGATGAGACAATGAGATGTGAAAAGGAGGAAAGAAGAAAAAGCAAAGAAAGAGCCCCCTGTCTGGCTTGTGCTTAGGATTTCCTTTTCTTTCTTTCTTTCTTTCCTTTATTTTATTTTATTTTTTTAATTTTATTTTTTTAATAATGATGATGACTATTATAACCACTAGTTATTCTTCTCTTCTCCTTGCTTCTTCTTTTCTGCCCTTTTTTTTCCCACATCAATCGCCGCTTACCCGAAATTGATCTCATTACGATGATGCATCATCTCTTCTCCAGATCTTCTCAGACATGCATTGCCGGTTGACTTTGGGGTTTCGGGGTTGACAAGGAGGGCAAGATTTTCTTTTCCCATGTTCAAATTTCCAATTTCCAATCATGAGTATCACGCATCCACACCGTCAGTCATGGGATTGATCTGACAGTGTACAACACCTGATTCAAGACAGGCAGAAGAGCCTCGAATAAGAGAAAGAAGAAGGAAAGAGAAGAGAGGTGGGAAGAGAGAAGGAAGAGAGAGAGAGGGAGGGAGGGAGAGAGAGAGAGGGAGAGAAAATAAGAAGAAGAAATCCATAGACTAAAAAAAGATAAAAAGCATAGCAATGCTTGAATACTCTTGTCCTACTCATGATGTACCTTCAAAACCAAGAAATCATTTGACAATCCCATCCCTCTTTCTTTCCCCTTCTCCTTCTCTTCGCTCCCATCCCTCATCTGCTCTTCCTCTGTCGTCTGTCTTCACAAAAAAAGAATAGAGGAGGAAGAAGGAGGAGGAGAAGAGAGAGAATGTATATATATATATATGTATATAAAGAAATAAAATAAAAGGGGGGAAGGGGGTTGGGTTGGGTTGGGTTGGTTCAGCATCTACTCCTAACCCCCCTGATACTTCCACATCTACCCTGCAACCTCCTCAATACTCCCTAGCAGAGCCCTTCAGGTTGAGAACCGCCTCCTTGGCCCTCTCCTTGACATCCAGCTCCCTGTCCTCCTGAAACATAATCATCTTATCGTAGAATCCCAGCCTGCGTAGCTCCGCCGCGCGGAGCCTGCAGCCGCCACCGACCCCCTCCGACTCTCCACCGTCGCCCTCGTCGTCCTGACACGTCAGGTTGATCACCAGGTGGCAGAGCGCGATCTTGACCTCCTTGTCCCGCCCCGAGTACTGCACCAGCTGCCTGAGGAGCTCCGTCTGCGCCGTCACCAGCTGCCGGTGCCGGGCGTCGCTGGCCGCCATCTGCACCAGTATGTACACCGCCGGCACGATGACCTGCGGCTGCGGGTTCACGACCCGCGCCTCCCTGCCCGCCACCGGCGTCCGCCGCGAGAACGGGTGCAGGTACCGCGGCCGCAGCTTGGACGCCACCATGTCGAAGAGCCGGTCCTGCCCCAGCTCCCGGAACAGGTGGTCGACCATGTCCGACGTGTCCGACGACGTGTCCGCCCCCACGCCACCGCCGGCCCCCGGTCGGCCGATCAGGTTGCGGATGAAGTCGAGCCCCTGCTCCTGTATCGCCATGTCGTCGTTGCGCGCCCGCCGGGCCGCGTTGCCCTCTGCTTCACGCAGGGCCGTCAGCCTGGCTTCTGCCCGACGCATCCGCGTCGACCGCGACGCGTCCAGCTCGAGCACCTCCCCATCTACCTCGTAGATCCACCGGTGCTGCTGCTGCTGCTGCTGTTGCTGCTGCTCACCCCGAGACTCGCCGCCTCCCACGTCGACGCCATCGTCGTCGTCCATGTCTCTGAGCCGGCTGCCGCCGTCATCCTGAGTCGCCGCGTCGTCCTGGATCAGCTGCACCAGCCACCCGGATCCTATCTCTTCGAGGCACGCCTTCTTGAGCTCCGGTCCCACGGCGACGACCAGGTGCTTGAGCGCCCACAGCGCATTCAGCCGTAGTGACGGGTTGTCCGAGTGTGTGTGCTCGCACAGCACGGACATGACGCCTTTCTCTTTCAGGAGCTGGCGATACGGTTTAGTCAGTATGGAGCAGTAGACATATTTCTTGGAGCCTGATTTGGAGTGAGATGGAGAAGAGAAAGAGAGGTAAAGTAAAGAGAGAGGGTGAGGGAGAGAGAGAGAGAGAGAGAGAGAGAGAGAGTGTGTGTGTGTGTGTGTGTGTATGTGTGTGTATGTGTGACTGTTGGGGGAGGGGGGGGGGGAGAAAGAAAAAAAAGAAGACTACCTCGCAAACAGGGCTGGCCTCGACGACGAGATTCGCCATAGCTGCCGTCGCCGCATTCCGCACATCCATATCCCGATGCTGCAGGAAGTGAAAGAGGGGCAAGGCAACGCCGTAGTCGACGAGCGCTGTGCGCAGTATACTTATAGACCGCGAGAGAACCCTGACGGTGTGGCACGCCGCGATGACGACCGGCGGCGTATTCCTCCCGTACTCGGGGGCTACCGAAGTCGTCGCGGGCGCATCGCCGTCGGTGGCCGCGCCGTCAGGTGACGACGCGTTCTTGCTGCTGCCGTTGCCGTCCTTTGCTGCGCGGTCCTTGGCGGGCGCGTGTGGCTTCCGCGGGAACTCGGAGAGCGACTCGACCACGTAGGGCACAAAGTCCTCGGCCACGAGGGCCTTGCGGTAGTCCTCCCTGCCGGCGGCGAGGGCGGCGATGGCCTTGAGGGCCGACTCGCGCAGCCGGATGTTGTGGGCGAGCACCTCGTTCTGACCGCGGCCGCCGAGCTGGGCTATGGGCGGGTGCGAGTCGATGCCTACGTCTGCCGCCTCCGGGTGCGGGGTCCACATGGGCCGCACGTACGGCTCGACCGGGCTGTAGGCCCTGCGGAGGAGCTTGGTCAGGATCTTGACGGCGTGGCAGTCGACCGCTGCCTTCTGGAGGAATTCGCAGTCGACGATGAGCCGGGCCAGGATCAGCGGCGCCTCCTCGAGCATGGCGCGCTGCGTGGCCTTTTCCTTGCTCGACGCCGTGGGCACGTCCCTGTCGTACTTCTCAATCATGTCGACCAGCAGCGGCACCACGAGCAGCCCTATGCTCGTCTCGCGTATGCGCTTGCTCCCGAGCCCGGCCTTGTGGAGCGACGCCAGGATGGACGCCGCCATGAGCCGCTCCGAGTCCCGCGTGCAGCGGACCAGGTGGACCAGCCACGGGAGCAGGGGGCTCTCGACGTCGTCCAGCTCCACCTCGGCGGGGGACCGGACGCGCGACGGGTCCATCTCCGTCAGCACCCTCGACACGGCCTTGCTGCGGCTCGACAGCTGCGAGTCCGATCGGTCGGGCGTGGCCAGCGCAAAGGGGGAGCCCGTGGCGCTCTTGATGGCCTGGATCGGCAGAGCAGGCAGCACGTACTCCATGGCCGTCAGGTCCGTGTTCCGCTGGTCGTAGCGCGGCGTGCCCGCCGCGCTCTGGGCCGTCATCGGCGACTGGAACCTGATGGGCGGGAACACGGCCATGATGGCGGGCGCGTAGAGCAGCCGGTTGGCACGGTACTTGGAATTTCCGAGGATGGCGGAGATGGCCTCGAGCACCGGCTGCAGCCTGGCACTGTCGGGCGCGGGCGGGGGGAAAGCCTCGAGCAGGCCGTCGTTGCAGGCCGCCTCCTCGGCCCCGGGCACCACGTAGCCATCGGCGACGGCGAAGCTGGCCAGACGGGCGGCGAGCGAGTCGAGGACGCCGGCGGCGGTCAAGATGCTCTGGTGCTTCTCGTGGCGGCACAGCTTCTGGACCAGGCGGCAGGCCAGGACGACCTGGGTCTGGGGCAGGTGCTTGGCGGACGAAATGGAGAGTATGGCGTTGAGCGACTCGACGTGGGCGGGGGAGAAGACCTGGTCGGCAAGAGCGTGCGTCGTCAGCGGACAGTCGTCGTCGGCCAGGGCGGCTGAGCTGGCAATGTCTGTCAGGGCTCGGAGGGCGGCGACGACGATCTCGGGTGGGCGGGAGCAGGGGGATACGTTGGCCAGGATGTCGGACAGCGCATGCGAAGCGTGTATCGGGGCGAGGAAAGCCGGGCCTCCTGAGCAGGCTGTTAGTCATCCGACATGAGGGCGTGCAGGGGCGTGCAGGGGCGGCAGAGGAGTGAGCGGCGGAGCGGTGGGACGGTGCAGGACAAACCGTGAGCGAAGCTGGCGATCAGCTGGAGGGCCTGGAGCCTTGCCTCGTCGTCATCGGACAGGGGCCTCGAATACAGTTGCAGATGGGACGACCCTTTGCCGTTGAGCCTGGCCGGTGACTTTTCGGGGCTTACGGCCCGGGCGATTTGGTCGAGAACGCCGTGGGAGACCCACTGCTCCTTCTTCTGTACGTGACCGACAATGTCGTTCTTGAGAGCTCGCAGGGCGGCAGCTTTCTCGGAGGCGGTCCTTGCGTTCCGTAGCTGGGCGAGGATGGGCGGACTCTGTGGCCTTGCCATGGTGGTTGTGGTCGTGGTTGTGGGGGTGGGTGTGGGTGTGGGCGTGCCTCCTGCAAGTCCCGAAGCACCGAGTATTGAAGGGTGAGACCAGGCCGGGTCGCAGCGGGGGAACCTGTGCGTGTCGGGGACGAGGATGTCGTCGACTCGCTGTATATCGGATGCGACCCAGGTCGTCACGGAGTCGAGGTCGCGCTCGCAAACAGGCGACCGAGGCCGATGGATGGGGATATCGGCACTACCCGGTAGTTGATTGAGAGGGAAGGAGGAACAAGGAAAAGGGAAAAAAACAGAGACGAGTATCGGTGCGTGCCAATCTATAAATGGAGAATAGAGTCTTTGAATGTACAGATATGTGAGGCCGGTGTGGACAATGCGGTGGAAAATGAAGAGAGAAAAAAAAGCACACCTCACACCACATAGCGTCTTCGTGTTGCATCATGTCAAGCAAGTGGAAGTGGTCGGTGGTCACGGCACGTGCACGTGCTTATCTTATCGGGGACTATCGGGGACGGGATTGCTGTGCGTCACGACTTGGGAGTCGTAGCAAATTGTCTACTAGTAGCAAGCACAATTCATTGCGTGTACGAGTACCGATTACAGAGTATAGATATAGGCAATAGTGCTGCTGGCAGTATCATTACTGCCTATAGTCATACTAGCATTGGTAGTCAGATATGAAGCTGGTGGCAGGAGATCATCAAAGTCATCCTCGTCTCGATACAGTGCTGCTATTGGGACTGATCTGTAATCTGTAGAGGTTATATCAAAACATGTCCGACCAGATGACAGCTAGACATACCCAACCGTCCAGTGTAGATGCAGTACAAAACTCGGTACACAGAAGGATAGCCAGGACTGGACAAGAATACCCCAGATTCGTTGTATACTTCTTGGGCCCGTAGGGTAGATTTACTCTGTGCCACATGGCATTGTTGATTGATGACTGTGAATATGGCGTAAACCGAGTGCGTACTGCCCAGCTTTGTGCCAGCCATTACACGATCCATATGGTGGTATCAATGCACCATTTCTGTCCCATTCCCGTATATTACGACGTAGAGACGAAGGAAAAAAGAGAAGAAGAAGAAAGGATCCGCGACCCGAGTGGGGGGGGGGTAAGTGGTTCACCCATGCAACTTTCGACTCTCTGCTTAAATCGTCTGTCATACGTACCATTCCATTCATACATATAAATATATACATACATACATATACATATATATATATATGTAGTACCATGACATGAATGTTGACTCCGTGAACGGTGAGAGAGGTCTGCTATTACCTTGTACTAAAAAAGATCTAGTACTATTATCATTCGGCAGCAACACTCGTATCATTAATGCTTCACACTTGGGGAATACTAAAAAGATGCATATTAAATCCGGGGTTCGTTATACATGACGCATCTACCAGACTTAGTACCGTCTCTTCTCCGGTGTGTGTGTGTGTGTGTGTGTTTAAGAGGCCTGTCTCTGAGCCGAGGACTAGCCACCAACACAAACACACAAACCCGCCCAGCCCCCCCCCGCCTTCGACTTCCCTCCCATATCTTTTGTGTATCGGAATTCTCCTTTTTTTTTCTTCTTTTTTCTCC